CGCCTGTCTAGATCCGAAGGTGTAAGAAACAGCATTTTTCATTGCTAACGATGTTAAAAATCGAGCTGAATGCCTCGGTGAGAAACGGGGCTCTAATGATTGCGAGAGGAGCTTTATAATTAGCAGAGTCTACCCCAGACTTCCTGAAGTTGGGTGTTTTGGCAGCATGCTGGGTGCCGTAGTAGAGGTGGTGCCATAGCTGGGAGATGAGGAGCGGTGCCCTCAGGAGCGAAGCTGGGAAGGCGAAGCAGATGGCAAAGTCCTCTCATCGAGTCAGCGCTGTCATCCCCAGGAAAAGTGTAAATTCCTAACATAAACAAAAAATACACAAGCTTGCCTGGTTTGATAGACTTAAATGTGTCTGCGGTTGATATTACAGCTCTAGAAGCAACCTGGGGTGGCGTAGCTCTCATGGCAACCATTTGACTTGCAGTGACTCTTCGGAATTACATCAAAATCGTGGCGCAGTCCTCTTTTCTTTCGGTTTTTATGCCAAATCTTACCACGTTCCAAGACTGCTGGCGGGCAGTGCTAATCCAGGGACAATGTGTTCCCGATTCTGCCTCTTATTGCTCCTCCACCAGAAAGTTTTGGGCCAAGACCCCCTTGCAGGAGTAGATCAAGGAGCTTGAAAGCCTGGGTTGTTGGGTAAGTTGGAGGCAGCATCTTCTGCTGGGACATCTTGGCAGTGCCATGTGTTCATGCGAGCGTGGTGCTGTGGGAGGTAGCAGGGCTGGTTTAGGATGGGTTTAGGACAGGCTTGGTGGGTCCTTGTGCCCGCTGTAGGGGGCTGGCCCCATTGCTGACTGGGGCAGAGACAGCTGGAGGGTGATAAACGTATAGATGTGGCACTTGGGGACATGGCTTAGTGGTCATGGTAGCGTTGGGTTGACAGTCGGATTAGGTGATCTTAGAGGTTTTTTCCAACTTTAATGTGATGGGGAGTCCCGCAGCAGGGATCCCTCTCCCCACCGAGCCTCGGCTGTGAGAAAGCACTGCGGTAGTTTTTAAGGTAGAGAATTTGGAGTCGTTACTGCAAAACTGCAGAATTTGGACAGTTGTGGGCTGCTTTTATTAATAATCTTTGTTTTGCAGAATGACTCATGAAACCTCATTGTGTTTTACCGTTGAGCGTGATTTCTCCTGGCTTGTCATTTATTTCCCCTGCTCATCTTTCCGCAGGTCCAAAGCGAGTGTCCCCTTAGCAGCAACTCGGAGCGAGCTACAGCTAACTCCTGCCACCTGCTGTCTCCTCCTTTGCTCTTCACTTTACAAAGTACCTGGTTTATTAAAAAATCTGGGGGGACAAAGGAGATGGAGCTACAGCTGCCCCATCGCTTCCCACTGACTTCCAGCCACCCCTCCACCAACCCTGTCACCTCCTCTCTGCCACCTCCTCCTCCCTTCCAACGGAAAACCACAATTTTTCTCATCCAACCGAGCAAGAGGAGAGCCAGGATATTGAGTTTAACCTGGTTCCCGTGAGAAAGCTGGGGACACATCACCTTCCTGGGCTGTCACCGCTGTTGCACCCTTCACCACACTGGCTCTGTGCTCGCAGGGTTGGGTTTTGCTCGGTGGGTTTGCCGGTCCCTTTGGCTGGCACTGGGATTTGTGGCTTTCTGTGTCCACCCTTTTCATCTTTCTGCTGGTGGCCGGTAGCCCTGAGATGATGCTCACCTCAAGGGGTGCCTCTCAAGAGCTGCACATGCGTGAATCTGCCATGAAAAACAGCAGGGCCTCAGGAGATCTGGTTTTGTCTGTCAAGACTTCGATTTGCAGTCATTTTCTGCCACCGCTGAGTCGTGTCACTGGTTGACTAACGTCTGCCCCATGCAGATGCTGTCACCTTTCCCCCGGCAGAGCCAGGTTTTGGCTCTTTGCGAGTGGGCTCAGCTCCTCAGAAGCAGCACATCCCAGTGGGTGACTGCTTTGGGCCAAAGATATTTCATCCGCCATCCCTCAGTGGAGACACGAAGGTGAGGAGCCCCTGTAGAGTAGCAGATCAAGTGTTTGCTGATGTTTGACCTGCGGAGCTTGCTGCTCCTCTGCCAAGGTTGTTTCACACATGGGCTGTCTTGACTGCGAGTGCTGCTGCTAGAAGATAAACTGCAAACCAAATTTTAGCTTTTTTTTTTTCTCCCCTCTAGTCTTTTGTAGGGGTGCTTAGCACTTTGCTATCCTTATTTTTAACTAAATGAACGCAGCTTTATTTCCCATTTAGGAGTACAGGGTACTGCAAACTAGAGAGAGGGTGTTCTGAACCTGCTGCCACACTGATGCTTAAGTTTTTCCAGAAGAGCTCAGTGGCTAACTTCTAACGCCAAATTTAGTGGAAAATGCAGCTCTGAGAGGTCAACCTAGTTGCAATTCTTACCAATTTCGGCAAATGTTTGTTTCTTGCATCAGGCTGTGGTTCCCAAACGGGCTGTTGTGCAAATCAAGAGCAACTGGTGAACTTCATGTGCCGCCGAGATTTGAAAAACACAAGGTTAAGCTCTTGCTCTGCGTGTCTCAGGCTACATTCTCCTAGTGTTGGGTCATCTGGGGGGAAGAGTTTCCCATATTTGACTTCTTGTAACTATTAAAAAGCCACGGCGGCAGAGGGACTTAGACCTGGCTTTTGGCCATCCTGGTGAAGACCTTGCTCACCCAGCTGTACCACCAGGTTCACGTGCACAGAGCAGGACACTCCGGGTAGAGAGAACTACAAACTCTTGCATAAGCCTTTACTTTTTGGGTTGGTTTTTTTGGGGGAGGGGGGAATTTTCGAATGACTTAAATGAACACATAGAATCATAGAGTTGTAGTATCGTAGAATCGTAGAATCATGGAATCAATCCTAGAATGCGTTGGGTTGGAAGGGACCTTCAAAGCTCATCTAGAAGAGAAGAGAGGGAGGCTGATGAGATCTTTTGCAAAGATGACTGCTTCTTACGCCTTCAGTCGAGAACATTTAGCTGACTGACACCTTTTAAACCTTATGTTGTCACTTTTTCTCCCAAAGTTGCTAACATCTACCGGCAAGCAGCAGGTACAGGGTCCAACAGCCAGAAGCAGCTCTGCTGAGCCAAATGCTCAGGTTTAGTTCCTTGCTGCGTTTCTCTTTGTGTCAGTCAGCTAAATGTTCTCAGCTGAAGGTTTTGCAGTGAAATGTTTTGAGTAATCCGAGTTGATTTTCTGAATAGGTATGGATTAATTATCAACTCTGCGTTGTTTGTAGATGCCGTAGTTACAGAGATTTTTCTTTGTGGCTACAAATAAAGTGTACTCAAGCTGTCGTTGGTAAAAGAGCAGATAATAAAGAGTGAAAGAAAATAATATTAATTTAGCAGTTACCAGTTTCAAGATGTACTTAGGCAGTTGGATAAGTAAATGCTGCAGCGAGGCATGGCAGACGGAGGAATCTCCTTCAGTGAGTATTATCCTGATGCCCTGCTTTTGGATTTCCAGATAAGCTAAAAGTCTTTACGCTGGCACTTATGCTTTTTTTGAATTGCATTTATTAAGTGCTTGTTCCCATGCACTTGTTAATTCTCAAGGAGACGTGGGACCAGGTAGCACAAGATCAAAGTAGTTGCCCTCTACCTGCAGCCACGAAGAGACTGTGAGGAGATCTGGTCTTTTCTGACTCCACCCCAGTCAGTAGTGTCTGGAGACGTCAGAAATCACTGTCTGAGCAGCCACTGCCTCCCAAGCACACCCACAGCTGCAAATAAATATGTTATAGCTGCTCCAGCAAAGCGTGCAATCCGTCACGCGCAATGTTTTGCAGAAATCACTGTCTGACCAGCCACTGCCTCCCAAGCACACCCACAGCTGCAAATAAATATGTTATAGCTGCTCCAGCAAAGCGTGCAATCCGTCACGCGCAATGTTTTGTTTGATAAATTATCCTAAAATTCTTGGGGGGCTGTTCGTACAAGGGGAGTTGGTGTATGAAGAGTTGGGGCACTGTCCAAACAGCGGAGACGCTGCCTTTATCCTGAGCCTGCTTGTTTGGTTCCTTGTGGCCTCATATCCAAATAACACAGGGCAGGTCCAGTGATGGCTCCTTCCTGTCTCTGAGATCACTGGAAAAAGGCTTGTGCCCTGGTAGGAGTGAGAACTTGGCTCCCACCACAAATGAGATGAAGCCTCAGGCTTCCAAAGGCAAGAAAATTCATTCAGAATTCAGCCACGCTTCGCTTGGCTTAGCCAGAGCATGGTCACACGTGTGGTATTTATATCAGACCCGAATGCCCAAGCAAAGGAGGCCAACCTGATCGTTTTCAGGGTTTACGAGGGGTGTCACTTGCTGAAGTGCCCGGGGTGACTTCAGCCACGAGTTGCAGCAGCCAAGTTACGCAACCGAAAGAAAGTGGGTGTGTGACGGAAACGGTGACAGAAGGTTCGGGGCTTTTTTACAAATTTTTTAACAGTCCGCCCCAATTTGCAGCCCAGCTGCTTCATAGTCACTGAACTAATATTGCGAGTGGTTAAGAAGACGTGAGCTACGGCCAAAAAGAGACTCGGGCATCCAGCCCGACTGGGGGAGTCACCGTCCCTGGAGGTGTTCAAAAAACATGCAGACGTGGCACTTACATGTATAGTTGAGTGGCCATTGTGCTGTCAGGTTGGACTAGATGATCTTAGAGGTCTTTTCCAACCTTTATGATTCTACAAAAGTCTGTGTAAAGTGTTATGGAATTGGGACTTTCGGCCTGGTGCGGACGCGGCGGCCGTGGGGCTCGGTGCCGGCGTTCAGCTGCCACGCCTTCGTGCTGAGCTTGGAGAAATCCAGGCTGAAGAACGACTGAGCACATGGAGTCAGGAAAGAAGCCCTGGGGGGAAATGTTTTATTTGCATTCAGAGTCCTGCTTGCACACGATAGAAACACGCCAGCCAGAGCCTCGGGGAAACGGAGCCCTGCGCTGACACAGAGCAGGCGACGCAGACGTGACAGGGAGAAGCCTCTGTTGGTGGCTGGGCGTGACATGCGGCGTGTGTTTTATTCGCAGCTTCGATGTGGAAAATGGCCCGTCACCAGGTCGCAGCCCGCTGGACCCGCAGGCCAGCTCCTCCTCGGGACTCGTCTTGCACACGACGTTCCCAGGCCACAGCCAGCGCCGGGAGTCCTTCCTCTACAGATCCGACAGCGACTATGACTTGTCACCAAAGACTATGTCCAGGAACTCTTCTCTCCCCAGCGAACAGTAAGCATCAGTTCCCCTCACGTCGTATTTTACGGTAATAAAGAGCTTTACGTGGCCTCCTGCAATGCTCAGAGCTCGGCTGGCTGCTGCTCACACCTCACAGCCTGAGCGCCCAACACGGTCACTTTCCCTCTTGCCACCCCATCCTTAAAATATTCCTTTTTTCCCCTGGTGCTTAGTTCTTTGCGTGGGAATTTGCGTTTGGGGCGTGAAACGCTTGCAGGTGACCGAGGGGAAAGCCAGAGCTGTGCTCGGGGCAGACGTCGCTGCTTTTTCTCAAGTAGGTAACGCTCCGTTAGCCTGGCCGATGGAAATACGACTGCACTTAATATTTACAGTTTCACTCTTCTCCATCCTGTTTTCTGTTATTCACTAGAACCGAGCGGAAAACACAGCCGAAAGCTGAGGCAGGTGGTTGAGCTGGAGAGGATCAATACAATGGGGAGCTTAAATGAGCATCCTGGATTTGCAGCCCTTTATTTTAAAAGGCACAGCTGAAAGTTTTCAAGTGACCGTAGAGCTATAAAAAGGTGCTCATTTAAAAAAAAAAAAAAAGTTAGGAAAGCCCTACAAGTTTTATCATGAAGCAGAAATCTGGAGGAAAATTCTCCTGAAAGAGAATCCCTCCCAATACTTGCAGAGACAAAGGAACCGTTCAAAATTACACAAATACCGAGTTTTATGGTTTTAACACCCCAGCCAGAGGGAAAACCCATTTGAAGGGGTCCAGCGGTGATGTTGGAGGGTGTTAGGCAAATGATACTGGATTTTTCATTTCTACGCAAGGGCTGTGTATAATATCAAACACCCCCCCCAAAAAAAAGCCTCTTATTGGTGGTGACGATGTATTTTTCTCCGAACTTCTGCTCAGATCTTCCATGATGGAAAAGGCCGGATAAAACCCAGCGGCTGAATAACATTAAAGGCTGTGACAGAGATCAACAAAAGCCAGGAAATTCAAAGCTGACCTTTCCCTGGACCGTTATGGTTTTTTTCCACTGCCAGTGCAGTCGCGCTGCCTCGACTTTTGAATTTCCTGGCTTTAATTGCCCAGTGTTACCAACCTGCCAGTGGCTCCCACCGTGTTGTTTTGGATATAACCCAGTGAGACCTTTCCATTAGGAACAAGATTTTACGTCGTGTTAAATAAACGCCACATGGGTTAACGTTGAGGGGTGGGGTGTTTGGGTATTTTTTTTTGCCATGGGCGCTGCCAGGGGGAACCTCCCTCTGTAAAACGTTTGAGGTAATTTTACACATTTCCCTCTGTTTCACCTTAGGCATGGCGACGACCTGATCGTCACACCTTTCGCCCAGGTGAGTCAGCAGCCTGTTGGCTTCTTAAATTAAAAAAAAATATGAACAAGAAAACAGTGAAAACCCGTAGACAGGGGATGACAGTCTCCTGTTTTGCCTCCCTCGTAGGTGCTGGCCAGCCTTCGAAGCGTGAGGAATAACTTCACGCTCCTTACCAACCTGCACGGCGCCTCCAACAAGTAAGCCTGGAGTTTTTTGGTCCTCACCTTGGCCGTCCCGGGTGCTCGTTAGGTGCCTGGCTTGGAACATCATCGGTGTCTGCTCTGCCCTGTGTTTCCACCATCGTTTCGCAAACAGAGGTGGTCACAGCCAAACAGGGTAGATGCCAAGAAAGAAGGGAAGATGCTGAGGGTCTGGAGAACACGCGTGGTGAGGAGCAGCTGAGGGACCTGAGGTTGTTCAGCTGGAGAAGAGAAGGTTGAGGGGAGACCTTCTCACTCTACAATTACATGAAAGGAGAGTGTAGTGACGTCTCTTCTTGTAGTGATAGGACAAGAGGAACTGGCCTCGAGTTGCTCCAGGGGTGGTTTAGGTTGGACATCAGGAGGTTTAGATTGGACATTAGATAGAACTTCTTCACTGAAAAGGTTGCCAGGCATTGGAACAGGCTGCCCAGGGAAAGGGTTGAGTCACATCCCTGGAGGGGTTTAAAACACAAGGAGATGTTGTGCTGAGGGACAAGGGTTAGCAGCTGCTTTGGTAGGGCTGGGTCCATAGTGGGACTTGATCTTCAAGGTGTTTTCCAACAGGAACTGTTCTGATTCTATGGAAAAAGGGTGGATGCCAAGGAGGGAAACCCCAAGCACGAGGCTGTGGGGCTGGTGAGGATCTCTCCAGTGATGCAGGCTCCCGGGGGGCTGCCCAGAGAAGCAGCAGCCTGCTCTGCCTGGAGGCTGGGGGCGTGACGTCGCTTCATTACAGTAATTGCACGGTTCTTCCGCACTGAAGAGGAAGATGTTGTTTTTC